CCGGTGGAAGAGGGGTTGAGGCGCCTGCCCCCTGTCACTCACAGAAGCAGGGACCCATCCAGGAGAGGATGAGAGCTCCGTACCCTGGTCACACACAGAGGCAGAGGTCGATCAGAGAGATTGAGGAGCTCCCCACTGTCATGCACAGAAGCAGAGCCCAATAGGAGAGGTTAGAGCACTGCCCCCTGTCACACACAGAGCAAGAGCGAGATCAGAAGAGTGAGGCGCTGCCACCCTGTCACACTCAGGGCAGGGCAATGGGGAGGTTATGGCTCTACCCTGTCACACACAGAGCAAGGCTGTGGAGGGGGGTTGGGGCGCCAACCTCTATCACCCACAGAGCAGGGCAATCAGGGGGTTGGGGCACCGCCACTGTCACACTCGGGGCAGGGCCAATGGAGAGGTTATGGCTCTACCCTGTCACACACAGAGCAGGGCCTGTGGGGGGGCGGGGGTTGGGGCGCCACACCCTGTCACACACAGAGCAGGGCCGATCAGGGGGTTGGTGCGCTGCACCCTGTCAAACACAGAGCTGCAGGGCAATCAGGGGATTGGGGAGCTCCCCCCTATCAGGCACAGAGCAGGGCTGATCAGGGGGTTGGGGAGCCTTCCCTTGTCACGAACAGAGCAGGGCGGATAGGGAGGTTGTGGCCCCACCCCCTGTCACACACAGAGCCGCAGGGCGATCAGGGGGTTTGGGCGCTGCCCCCTGTCACGCTGATCCCGGTGCCAGGAGGCATATTACCCTTTTACTATATAGAATAGAGGCCTGGTGCATGGGTAGGGGCTGGCTGGTTTGCCCTGAAGGGTGTCCTGAATCAGGGTGGGGGTCCCCACTGGGGTGCCTGGCCAGTCTGGGTGAGGGGCTGAGGGCTGTTTTCCGGAAGCAGGTGACTGAAGCTCCCAACCGCTCCTTGTTTTCTTTTCTTTTTTTTTTTTTTTTATTCTGGGCCAGCTTTAGCTCTGAGGCCTCGGCTGCTGAAAACATCGATACAATGTTGTGGTCTGGCTGGCTTTCAGTCCGGCTGGTTTCTGGGGTTTTGTTTAGCTTCTTATTTGCAACATAGTATATAGTTGCTTAGACTTGCAGCTGAGAGGCCGGCAAGTGAGCCGGGGAACGTTGGAGTCCACAGTCACTGAAGCAAGCAAGCCTCCCTGCTCGCTTCAGTGCATGGCTGCTGGCCGCCATCTTGGCTGACAGTTAATTTGCATAAGGATATGCTGATTATCCAATGGGAAGGGTAGTGGTCGTACGCCAATTACCATGTTTCTCTTTTATTAGTGTAGATTACTTTAATTGTAGACTTTCATTTGTAGACCAAATAATAATAATAAAATAATTAATTTTAAAAAAGAAACTAAAAACCAGACATGAACATACAGAGCTAACTTTTATAAACATTTTAATATATTTTTCTATTTTTCTATGATAAATTTAAAAATTAGCATGGCTCAATAGTTTTTTTCTATCACTCCCTACTTTCCACCTCTCCCTGATGGTAGATATAATCATACACCATTATTTTTTACTTAAAATTATATCATTATTATTTCCTTAA